ATGTGCATAGGGAGAGTGGACATCTTCCTAGAGGCTGCATTGCACAGTAGGAACGACACAGGCTGCAAATCTTTTGCAGAAACTCTTCATCAACATAGGGAGAGGCTCTTCTTTGGACAGTTCTTACCCAGAATCTTGTCAAATGACTTTCCAGCACTGATTGATTGACATGACACAGATTTTCTTTGTTTCAATTGTTAAAATGATTGGTTGTTTTTAAGACAGAATCTAATGTAGAGGCTAGCCTAAAACTCAGTATAAAGCCAAGGCTGGCGTTGAACTCCTGATTCTCCTGCTTCTGCCTCCCAAGTGATGGGATTGTGCACTACCATGCTAGGCTGCTTTTATCCAATTAGGAACTGCCTTAATTAGCTGTAGTAATTCATGGTACATCTGGGCTTCACCAGAGTGTGTTACTGGAAACAGAGAAAAAAGGGACACAGGCACATAAAGTGAGATCTATGATCACTGTGACTGGCACTGTCTTCAAAAACCTGTAAGAGGACCAACTTGGTTGGTCGTTGGCCACTTCAACAGCAGTCTATTTCTTGTACTGACCCACTTATGCTTCAAACTGAGTTTATTCTATAGGTGAGCACTCAGACTTATGGAAAAGTACCTCCTAAATAATTAATGAGGAGCTGAAGAGTTATCTCATTGATTAAGAACATATATAGCTCTTGGAGATTACCTGGGTTCCATTTACAGTACATACAGTGTAGCTCACAACAGTCTCTAACTCCAGTTCCCGGGGGATCTGATGCCTTTCTCTGACCTCCTCCTCTACCCGGCAACCATGTTGAGCACATACATATATGTAGGAAAAAGACTTATGCACATAAGGTAAGTGAATCTAAAAACGAGTAAGATAATCCCACTTAGGGAAACAATCTCTGGCACATATAATGTAGGTCATCTCTAGGTATTATTGATATTCATATCAGACTACTCCCCAGGAGTTTTAGATGCATCTTTTTCTAGCTAATTTGATGACAACTCAACAAAAGCTGGAGTCATTTGGGAAGAGGGAACCTCAACAAGGAAAATACCCCCACCAGACTGGCCTATAGAAAAGCCTGTTGTGTATTTTCTTAATTGGTGGTTGATGTAGGAGTGTACAATTCAATGTGTTCAAGGACAACTGGGCAGGTTGTGGTGCCATAAGAAAGCAGACTGAGCAAGCCACAAGGAACAAGCCAGTAAGCAGTCCTCCTACGTGGCCTCAGCATCATTTTGTACCTCCATTTTCCTGACTTGAGTTCCTGCCCTGACCTCTCTGGAATTGTAAACTGAAACAAACCCTCTCTTGCTCAAGTTGCTTTTGACATGATGTTTTACCACATCCATAGAAACCTAACTAAGACACACCTCAGTCCCAGCCAGTTCCCCTTCTGCATGGTGCTGTTTGAGGTGCTATCAAAAGCTTTCTGCTAATGCTGGGTAAAGCCCAGGCTCTGTCCTTTGCAGGGAGGTTCCTAGGAATTAGCAGGACAGAGAAGGGGTGGCCAAGCCAAGATGAAAATTCAAGGGTAGTGAGGGGCACAACTTGAAGTAATGAAGGCTAGAGCTATGGAACTGGGGATCCCTGCAGGAACTGCCACCAGAAAGAAAGCGGAGGCCTGAAAAAAGATGCCACAGGCTAGAATACCTCTCCCTTCTGTTCTACCATCTCTCTAGGGTCTACTCATGACTGATCACAAACACCTGTTGACTCCTGAGAGCATCTACCATGAGTAGATCTCAACTTCCTGTCCTACCTCTTGTCCTCCCAGGATTGCCAACAACCCCTGCCCTTCCACCTCCTGATGGTGTCTTTTATCATTTTAACTTAACAGATGTCTGTGAGCATAGCTAGAGATTTTGGTAGAATTCAGTCTACTGGGACTAGGGAAGGACAGGTAGACAGATAATGGGAAGCAGCTGTAGACTGCAGGATCTGCCCTTCATACTGCTCGTAAGACTCATGGTGGCAGACATCATCTGTCTATCATCTGAATGTGGCTCTCATGGTTTTTCTTTTTTCTTTTTTTTTTTTTTCGAGACAGGGTTTCTCTGTGTAGCTTTGTGCCTTTCCTGTAACTCACTTGGTAGTCCAGGCTGGCCTCAAACTCACAGAGATCCGCCTGCCTCTGCCTCCAGAGTACTGGGATTAAAGGCGTGCACCACACCACTCCCATAAGTGCCAATATCAGTGATTCAAACAGTGGTGTGGAAGGTATCTATGGTGCAGTCAGCAGGACAAAGTACACACAGTTTTTGGCACCCTGAGTGAAGAGACTCCAGGCTGCTCACTAATCTTTGGTCTTAAAGAGCACTGGCCCCACCCTCTCACACCCAGAATGTCAGGCTTCCTGCTCAGCAGCAGGGTACAGGACTGGATTTTGGCAGCTCCTCAGCACAGCTCAGGACTTGTTACAAAGTGCTCATTTGTGTTGTTTAGAGAGTCTTGAAGCTGTCCAGGCTTGATCTACAGAGACACAAAGGTACCTTTGTAGGACTAGAACCTTTCTCTAGAGCTCAGGTCAGATGGGACTCAGGACATCAAGATGGAGAGGGACAAAACAGAGTTCCTGCTGGAGAAGGATCTGGGCTGAGGCCAGAAGATAAGGTGGCCAAGGCAACTCAGTTGTGGGTTCTGGGTCCATATAGGTCTCTGGCCTCCATTGTTTCTTTTGCTTCCCCATTCAAAGAAAATTGGACTCATGGTCTCCTTGCTGGCTTGCCAGTTGTCAAATTGACAAGGCAGGGAAAACCTTTGGTAGAGCAGAGGATCTAGTGTTCTAAGATAATTGTACAACTGTGGGTTCACAACAGGCTTTGATGGATCTCATGGGTTTCACATCAGGCCATAAGGTGTGGAAGGAGCCTGAGTTGTGTCAACGACTCCATGTCCTATCATAAGGTCCTGAGATGATCAACACAGCAGAAGACCCAAGCATCCTTGTTGGAAATGAAACCCTGAACTACAGTGAGGAAATGCTGCGGACTGGGTCTCAGTAGGGCCACCAGACCGAGGGAGAACGGGATGAAGGTGCTCAGGATAATTGGGATTCGGCGACGACAGACAGACACAGACACCAGAGTATGCTGTGAAACTGCTACAATTTTACTGAACATCAGGCTGAGATTTTATACAATCTTAACAAGGAACTAAGCCCAGGGGCAAAAGGAAAGCAATAGACGCAATCTTTTGTGGTCACACAATGTGGTTTTCAGAATGATTAACCCTTTCAATCAGAGACATGCTGTGGCCTGAACCCTAAGAGCCAGATTATGCACTCAATAACTGGTAATCCATTTCTGGTAATTTATTAAAGACAGTTACAAAGTCCTCGCCAAGAGCCTTAGCCCACCTCTTTAGCACAGGTGCTATACCCCTCAATATAGCTGACCTTGTCTGCCTATCATATGTACACCATACCTTTCTGCTTCTAACCAGCCTTTCCATAAAAGGCAACTGATTCCACAACATTCTTTTTCCCCATGATTTACCCAGCCGATTCCCTTCATAGTCATAAGCCCCTGTAAAAGGGGGTGGATCTAAGTAATTTCTACTTCTGGGATTCCAACGAGGGGGTGTCCACTATTTCCCATTAATACGGTATTGAATGTACTTTCCAACCATTCTTGTGGGAGTTGCCAGTTTCCTAAGTTCTCTTTCTTGTGAGTTTGTATGAGCTGAGTGAGGGTTACCTAACAATCTTTTTACTTTTACATTTTCTTCTTTAGAATCTGTGGGAACCTGAATCATTAGCTCTTTCTGTTCTAATCCATCCATGAGTGCCCCCACTGAAGTAGGGGTTTTTTGTGCTATCTGCCAAGGGCTTGAATCACTGGGGTGTAACAGTTGAGGAGTTATCAGGTACATCAAGCGAGCGTCTGCGGGAGTCCAGGCACAGAGAGGTTGTTATTGTCAGGAAAGAAGAAAGAAGCAGGAGTCGTGCCAACCATCCACGGAAGGCTGGTCTTTAGGGAAAAATGTATCCAGGAACGATTGCTCGGGCTGATTGCCAGGGGACCGCCGGGGGCCTAGCCCCGAGAGACACGTGCCCCACTTCATCGTGAGACCACCAGATGGCATTTGTCACACGGGCGACACCGTCGCGGGTGTGGCAAGGAAACTTCCCTTTAGTGGGCACAGATTAGAGATTGCTTTATAGCTAGAGACTCTCCAGCTTCTGAACTAAAGTCTGAAGCACAGAAGTCCAGGCTCTACTCTTCGAGAGCTTGGGATATAATTGAGTAGACAGACAGGTGATAGTTACAGTTGAGAAAGGAGAGGGATGAGACATGGTAGAGAAAGAAGTGCTGTAAGACAACACAGCTGCCTGGTGTATAGAGTGAAGTCATTCAGATGACTGTGGTCTCTTAACGGTCCCATGTGGCCCCTCCCTCTTAGAGTGATCAAGGTTCAGGAGCTCCTGAACAGTCTGGTAGATCCTGACACATCCAATGTCTCCCTGCTCACACCTGGGATAGGGCCACCCAGTAGCAGAAGACAATGAGGTGGGCCTAGTGTGCAGCTTGTACCCAGGGCACTGGCAGGATTGCGTGTGGTAAATAGCTCAGTCCTTTTCTCAGCTTCAGTGGGAGAGAAGCCAGCTTCTAGATAAGATGGCCAAAGAAGCTAGGGATGGCTGGAGAGTGAGTACAGGTGTGAAGAAGGAGTAGGAGGAAGCCAGGTCCCTCCTTTCCTGGCTGCCTCTTCTCTATTCTTGTCCCAGAGTCATTTAAAAACTATAATGGGCTCTGTGTCTGTGGCACCCTTGGATGGGGCCTACATTGCAGGGCATTGTGTCTTTTCTTTGCGTTTGCTACAGAATGATCACCAGATCTCAACAACAATAACAATAGCCTCCATCCCCATGACGGACATGGATTTGGCTAGGAGGGGTGTGGTCAGTGTCATTTGTGTCCATAAAGGCCATTCTCCAAGGAGCCAGCACAGCCTTATTTTGTCACCTGTGTGACCTGCCTTGTCTAGAGGACAGAGCCTGAAGATGAAGAGCCTGCTCCTGACTGGCACACTGTTTGTCCTGGTGGCTGTCCTACAGGCCCAGGATGACCTGCCTTTCCTCTCAGAAGACAAGAACGTGAGGCAGGGAGGGATGGTGGACAGGGGTGGGGGAATGCTTGACTGGTGTCCAGTGCCTGAGGAATGGAGCTAGTCCTCATGAGCTGTTAAGTCCTCTGAGTCTGGCCTCTGACACTGCACCTAGGCCTGGAGTCTTACCTGCTCTCTACTGCCCTGCTGTCTCTACTGATGTTCTACCAGCAGACATGTGCCCTCTTGGACCACAGAGCTGGAACATGGAAGGGTCCTAGTTTTAGTGACTCCAAGAACCTGAATGTTTCTCAGGGGTGGACCTTCATTCCCTGCCCTAGACCTAAAGACTTTGGGGGATTTGGGAACAGACACCTCCTGAATAACTGGAACATAGGTTTTCAGGCAAACTTTAAGGAACACAGGACTGGGGAGTGTGCCAAACCATGTCAGGGGCTTCAGCCTGGGCTCTATAATGTTTTCCAGGCCCCTGCACATGTGCTGGAGCTAGGAAGAGAACTTGGCTTAGACTGAGGTATATAGGGTGTACAGGGCTCTGTTTGTTATAGGTCTCAGGGATATGGTACATGAAGGCCACAGTAAATGACCTGAACAGCACAGAGTGGAAGAGCCCTAAGGAAGAATTCCCTTTTGTAGTGAGAGCCCTGGAGAAGGGAAACATGGAGGTCATGACTGTTTCCATGTGAGTGTTACCACTATGAATCTTCCCAGCTTTCTCTTCCCTTCTCAACTATGCTTTGAGTGTTGCTGACAAGCAGGCTCATTCTTTGAGGGGACACCCTCCCAGCAACCACCCCAAACCACAGCTGCTGTTCACATGGGATTTGGAGGTCGAAGACCCACTATGCAAGCTGAGCAGAACCCAGGTGTGGGCTCCAAAACAGGCTGCTGGTGTGCTTCCTGTTTTCCAGGTATAATGGTGAGTGCCTGCAGGTTGACGTCCTGTTGGAGAAAACAAAGAAGCCTGGCCAATACAGTGCCTGTGAGTCTGTCTGAATTTCTCCCATTGCAGTGATATATTCTCTGTCCCAAAGGATTAGGGAAAGGGTGTTTCTTTTAGGTCACTGTTCAATGTACAGTCCATCGTAGTGGAGAATTCAAGGCAGCTGGTGCTTGAAATAACTGGTTATATTACATCGACAGCCAGAAGAAGGGAATGAGGGATGTATGCATTCAGGTGCTCAGCTGGCTTTCTCTGTTTTACTCAGTCCATTGTCTGCTGCCCAGTGGATAGTCCCACCACAATTAAGATGAGTCTTTCCACTTCAATTTTCATAATCAAGATGATGCACTTGTGGCACAGTCAAAGGCACATCTCCCAGGAGATTTTTACTTGTCAAGTGGATGTTTAACCTGAACTGTCACAGTCTCCCAGGGTGCATGTGATCTTTCCTCCCAGAAACTAGCTCCTGGTGTTTGAGCATCCCTGACCTGCTTAGCTTCTATGAGAGGCTAGCCAGTTAACTTCTAGGAGACTTTAGAGGTTGTAGGCTAGTCCACAGAAGAGACCATGTTTCCCTCTAGACAGTTCTGTCCTTTGACCCATAGGGAAACAGAGGATTAGGATCTAGGAAGCAGGGCAGGGCAGCTGCTAATGGGTCAAACTCCAGCCTTCATCTTTCCTGCTGCCATTGGTCCAGACTCCATACCTGGGGATGACACCTTTCCAGGAGAAAACTTTGTTCCTGTGTTGAGACCACACCAAGTTCAGGCTCCATATGATTAGGAGTTCATGGGTCATTGCTAACATCTTCTAGACCAATGGTTCTCAACCTGTGGGTTGTGACCCCTTTGGGAGTGACTATCAGATATCCTGTATATCAGATATTTACATTATGATTCCCAAAAGTAGCAAAATTACAGTTATTTCATAATAGCAGTGAAATAATTTTATGGTTGGGGTCACCACAACATGAGGAACTGTATTAAAGGATCACAGCATTAGAAAGGTTGAGAATCACTGCTCTAGACGGTTCCTTAGCACAATCAGAATAATGTATCTGGAGCAAGATATATAGATCCATTTTCTCTGTTCATTTACAGTTTGGGGCACATATCTCATGTACATCTATGAGCTGCCAGTGATGGACCACTACATCTTCTACAGTGAATGCCAGTTCTTTGAGCAGAAAGTCTATGTGGGAGAGCTCATAGGTAGGTCCCTGGGCACCTCATTTCCTGTATGGTCTCCACTACCAGAAGCCAGAGGATGTGTAGCAACTACACCTTGGCACCAGGGACTAGAATGCTTAGCATGGTAGACTTGATGTGTGTCTAGATTCTGAACACCAGGTGCTGCCTGTGCAGTGTGCAAGATCTGAGAGAGAAGGGCTAACTGGACAGGATCTTTCAGAAAAGAGAGCAGATAGAGCCCCAAGGGCCCTGAATACATAGAATGAGAGCTCCAAGCAGTGAAATGCTAAGTACCATTTCCTGGGGTCTCAAGTGTCATGAATGTCAGTTTGAAGGGTTGGGTCCTAACAGAGGCTTCTGGTTGGCAATGTCCCTCTAGACTTGAGAGACAGACTAATGTTCCTGTGAGGATCCTTCCAGGTCAGGATGTGATCCTGCACAGCCATTCAGGATGTATAACATCCACTTGTACCTGCCTGCAGGCTTTGTCCATCTCTTCCATTCATACCCTACCTCCCTATCTTCTCTAAGTGCTCCCTCTTCTCCTGCCTGCACTTGGGCCAGGGTGGAGCCCCTAGTGCTGGGCAGTGATCCTGTCTTTGTGCCAATGGCTCCCTAAAGAGCTGTTCAGTCACAACCCTTGTGCTCATCTGGCCTCTGTCCCCAGGGAAGGATCCCAAAGAAAATTACGAGGCCCTAGAAGATTTCAAGAAATTCGCACAGCAGAAAGGCTTTCCACTTGAAAACATCATTGTGCCTGAGCAGAGAGGTGAGCAGGTGACTTTGGAGATCACAAGCTAGGCTTCCCTCTAGTTACATAGAGCTGTCCATACCCTCCTCATGTCCTCCGTGTCAGCCATTGCTCTAAGTGACCTTTGTGTTTCTCTATGTCCTTGGTGTCTCTTTGTGTCACCATTTGCCCTCCTCTTTCCTCACAAGGACAACAGGGTCATGCTTCAGGTCTTGGTCATGATGGCATCTAAGCTGCAGGTGTGATAGGCTCTGGATCTTCACCAGTGCACTTCTTCAACCCTGGGTTTTTCTTTGTTTCTACAGATATGTGTTCCCCTAAAGATCACTTTGGTAAGTGACCCTTGGAAGAACCTTAGGACAGCTCAGACTCCTTAGTACTTGAGTTTTGTGGTCCATCTTTTGGACCCTTAAACAGATATGAGAGACCCTTCATATCCAGGTGTGAGTGGCCTTTCAAGGATGTGGCGCCAAGCAAAACCCCAGAACACTTGAGAATCTGTCCTTTTTTCATAGAATCCTTCCCATGTCATGGTCTCCATGTGGTCTCATCTCCCACCCAACACACTCCCTACAATCCTTAGCAACCTGCCTGGTAAACGTGGTAGGCTGTGCTTGAGGACCATGAGTGTCTGACAACATCTCCACGGTATCTGTGGCAAGGAAATTATCTGATTGGCATCTGTTTCCTTATTAACTCCACTCTGCTACCCCCAAAATAGAAGGAGGGGCCCTCACCCCCTGTTCCTCTTCCTGTCACAGCTGCCCTTCAGAACTGCAAACCCTGAGCCAACTCTGTACCAATGCATAGTAATGCCTTTCCTGGATTACCCGTCTCCCTGGACTGCATGGCACTGAGACACATCCTTCAAGACCATCTCACTACCTGTTGGACCACACTCCTGTTAGGACCCTCTGTTTCACCCCAAACCCAAGTAAAGCCTTAAGCAGCCATTCTGGACTCAGTGTGTGCTTTGGAGTCTCCTGTAATCTCCGAGAAGCTCTATGGTAAGGTTGAGGAGCTGTGGGACTTAGTAGGCTTCAGACCCCAAGTCCTGTAGGATATGGGATATCCTAGAAGTTCATTTGATGGGACACCCCTCACACACATGGCTTCAGGAGGTGTTTGACTTGGTGGCAGGAGAATTTTGGGAAGCTACTGGGTTGGGCACAACCGGGGAGATGGTATCACAGATGCAAATGTGTGCAGGTCCCTACAGGGATCTTGCTCCAGTGGGGACTTAGGGGAACCATATGAGAGACCCAGTGGTGAGTGACCTGGCAGAAGGGGGAGGGGTTAAGAGTACTCTAAATCCTCCATCATCATCCTTCAAGCAAAACAGTACTATGTACAGCCCCATTAGTCATTATTACTCACCTTGCCCACCATGTGGTTTATCCAGTGAACAAAGTCTGTGTGGACAGTGCTTCATGGGGATATGAGAGCCAAAGTGAGAGAGGAATGACCCTGTACCTTGACTGATAAACACAGGTCCAGAAACTTTCATCTCAATGGTACATAGATTCCTGGAGGATGAGCATATGGTATCATCTTTCCCTGAGATGCTGTTGCTTGTTCCCAACTCAGCAACTCTTCAGCTCCCACCCTCACATATTGTCCTTCCCTTGTCCCTTTCTGCCTGGATGTGATTGTTGCTGAGGATCGTAGGTCATCCTGAAAGAAAGCAACCCCTTTCAAGTGCCTGCTGAAGCCTGAGATTGTTGGACATAGTTGAAGATGTCTAACATCTTCATCGTACAAAACTAGTTATCACAGCAACCCCCTCTGCAGAAAATATGAATGAGTCAAAGGTTTTCATACAGCAGTGTAAGAAAGTAACACCTGAACAATGACAATACCCATAGGCATGCTAATGTGGAAGGGGCAACTCATGGGGTCCCACCCCTAGACAGAGAACTACAGGCAACTATTGACTGCAGGGAGAGGGAGAGTTAGTCTCTCCCTGGGATGAGTTCCCAATTGTGTTATCTATTACAAAGCAATCAGCTCCAAAATCATATACAGCAAAGCAACACCAATCAGACTCAGCAGTTGTATTTATATTATGTACATCCTCACACATGTGAATGTAATGATAATAATCAAATAAAAAGAGCCCATCAGTTTGAGAGGGTATGGGGGTGTGTTAGAGGGGTGGATGGAGGGAAAGGAAGGGGGAACTGATATAATATTTTATTTAATTTAAATATTAAATATTTCATCAATGTCATGGGAGTGAAGAAGGTTATGAAGCACTGAAGCAATGGGACAGAAATCTGAGTTGCAAAGTCCAAATTTGTTTGTGAGAAGCAGCACACATCTATAGAAACCATTATTAATATTGGTGTTAGTGGTCATATGCTACACTTGAGTTTTTGTTTGGATACTTTTTTTTGTTTTTGTTTTTTGTTTTTGTTTTTTCAAGACAGGGTTCTCTGTGAAACAGTCCTGGCTGTCCTGGACTCACTCTGTAGACCAGGCTGGCCTCATACTCACAAAGATCCACCTGCCTCTGCCTCCCGAGTGCTGGGAGGCACCGCTTGGCTGGATACTTTTTAATATGAATTTTAATGTGCTGTTGACCCAGGTACACACTGAATACACATACAGTTATGTCGGCCAAATCTTTTCTGTGCTGTCCTTTATGGACATGCCCTCCACACACCTTAAACCACTAAACTGTTCTGCCCGAGTTTGCCTGTTGAGTTTTGAACAGGGTGAGATGAAGACCCAGTGTCCTTCAGTACATGTGGATATTAACTGCCCAGCACCATGTTTTGAAGTGGCTGTCTTTCCTCCAATGCAGGTCTTTGGCATCTCTGTAAAAAGTCACAGGGCTGTCGTGGTGTGGTTCTGTTTTGTTCTGGCAGCAGCATGATGTTTTGTTAGTGTGGAATAACATAAAATCAGGGTCTGTAGTATAACCTGAAACCCACTCTGGTGATAGCACGAGCATTGTCCATGTTGGTCAGGATTGCTTTGGCTATTTGGTTTGCACACAAGGTTTAGAATTGCATTTTCTCTTTCTGTGAGGAATGGAATCTGTAGATTGCTTTGATAATACAGTCATTATCCCAGTATTGATTCTGCCAGTTCATACACAAGGAAGCTCTCCACAGTCCAGTTTCTTCTTCAATTTTCCCCTCTGTGTTTCCAAACATTCATTATTTCAATCTTTACTCCAGAGAAAATTTCATTTTTGAGGCCTTTAACTCCTTCCTTGGGTTTATTCCAAGTTATTTTATTTCTCATTTGGAAACCAATGCTAATTGGAGCATTTTCTTGATTTCTCTCTCCATATGACCCTCATGGTATGTGGGAAAGCTGTTGGTTTTTATGAGTTGGTTTTGTAACCTGATGCTTTCGTGAAAGTGTTTACTAGTTCTTAGACTTTCCTTGTGGAGTCTCTGAAGCCCCTTATGTACATGATCACATCATCAGCCACTGCTATTATTTTGACTTCTTCCTTTCCTATTTGTATCCCTTTTATTTCTTGCTCTTGTCTCGTTACCCTAGATAATACTATAAGGAATCCTTCTGTAGGATAGAAGAAAGAGGACAGCCCTGTCCCTGCTGACTTCAGTGACATTGCTTTGATGTGTCTCCACTTAGGATGATGCTGGCTGTATGAATTTGCTCCTCCCAGGAATAGTTCCTTCAGAGCTATGATCATGAAGGATGGTTGGCCTTTCTCAAAGGGCTTCTCTCCATCTCAGAGAAGTGCCAGCATTAAGAAGGCATTCATGATACTCTTTTCAAAAAAATCAATTTTATTTTATTTTTTCTTAATGCTGGTACTTGTACTCATGCCATTTCTGTCCCTAAATACTTAAGCATGATGTATCCCATTTATCAGGGACCAGATGGATAGTAGCAAAATATTTTGATAGGTTGTTAATGCTTTGTCTAAATGTAACTGACAGGGTTTTTTTTGCCTCCATGTTGATCAGGAAGATCAGCCTATAATTTCCTTGCTTGTGTATGTCAGGATAATATAAGCTTCGCTGAAGAGTTTGGTAGCATTCCCCCTTTCTGCTTTCTGGAGTGGAATCAGGAGCATTATTTTTGTTTTTGGGAGAATTCGGCAGTGAACACATTTGGTCCAGGTTTGTTTCATTTAGAAGACATTTTATTGCTGTTTCATCTCACTGCTTGTTGTAGAACTCTTTATGTTGTCTGTGTTCTCTTGTTAATTTTTAGTGGATCATAATATAGAACACTATTCATTTCTTTGTACTTTCCAATTTACTTGAGTATAAGTTTTTAAGGTGTATCATCAAGACCCTGAGTTTCATGAGCTATCAATATGTCTTCTCTTTCACCTATTGTTTTAATTTTAGTTTTTCTTTTGATTAATTTTACTAAAGGTTGACATTCATGATACTCTTTTCAACAAAAATCAATTTTTATTTTATTTCTTCTTATTGCTGGTACCTGTGGGAACTTGGAGCAGATCTTGTTTGCATCTTGTTGGATCAGGAAGTTGAGTGCTTAGGGCAGACCCAGAGGGGGATTCCAATGACATCCATGTCTTCTAGTGAGGCCATAGTGGCAAAGGTTCCACATCTCCTAAAACAAGTCTCCAGAAATGACCAGATCCTATGTGCAATATTTCATATACCAACCATAACATCCAAGAAACTAACACATAATTTGCACATGTAAACACATAAACACATCCCACAGCTACACAGACACACATGCGCATTCAATACACACAGGCACACACAGTTACACGTGTGCACAGCAGCAGGACATTGTATTTGTACAGCGGTGTGGCACAGAACGAAAGAGAAGTGAGAAGTGGGGACCCTCAGGGGACTTTGGACAGGGGCCTGACTCCCAAACACTCATGGAGCCCGGAAAGGGTGAAGGCAGCTGCTCTGTGCAAAGGTGGTTAGGATTCAGGTGCATTGTAGGGCCCAGCTGCTAGCTTGGTAGAGATCAGCTGTGAGGGTGTGGAGAGCCAGGGAGGAGTGTGGCACTCTCACGAGTATGGGGAGCAGGAGGAAAGACAGGACACAGGGGCCATTTGCTGAAGGGTGACACCATAGCTCAGTTCTCAAGGGGCTGTGGCTGCAGAACACATCCCTGTGTCCAGCACTGCCGTGTGGAAACAGGTTGGTGACTGCTCTCGGACCTGGAGGTTCTGAGAGGGAAGAGAAAGGGTTGTGACATATTTTGGTCAGAACACAGCCATGCATGGAGATGGTGGGAACACAGGAGCCCTTGTTATCCCCCTGGCTCTGGGTTCTCAGGTGTCACTTCCCACTCTGATGACATTCTCTCTCCTGACAAGGCTTCCTGAGAATGAGTGAAAGCACAGGCAGGTGACTAATTACAGAAATTAGCACCATGTATTCACGAGGTCCAAACAAAACAGAGCTACCAGCCTACAGCATGGATGGGGGCTTTGTGCAGGTGGGGTGTCACCCAGTGCAGGACATAAATGCTGCAGCAAGGCCAGGAGCACAGAGGCACCATGGTGACCATGCAGCTGCTCCTGCTGACTGTGGCTCTGACCCTGTCCTTTGTGGAGCAATCATCCTACAGGCATCCTCAATATGTTGCCACTGAAGATGAGGTGAGAGTGCTGGGCAGATTGATTGTGTGAACTGAGTTTGCATGTTTAGGATGAGAGTCTCAGGGCTGCTGATGAGAGCTGCAGATGGGCATCATTGAGATGCCCTGTGTCGTGACTCAGTATCTGTCCTCCTGCATGGCTTTTCTTGATATCTCACATTGGGGACACACAGGGGCCAAGTGATGGTTTACGGAGGCATCTGT